TTATGCAGATCGTCGCAAAAGGCCAATCGAGTTCTCGGTAGGTGATATGGTAATGGTGAAAGTTTCTCCTTGGCGAGGTGTACTTCGATTCCGAAAACAAGGAAAGTTAAGTCCACGATTTATTGGCCCGTTCAAAATATTGGAGCGATCGGAAAACAAGCTTATCGACTAGAGTTACCGGAGGAACTTACGGGAATACACGATGTGTTTCATGTCGGGTACTTACGTAAATTCTTGGGTAAACATGAAGAGACGGTTCCCTTAGCCGAAGTCAAAGTAGACGAGAAATTAAGATACATTGAAGAACCAGAATCCATTCTGAACGAAAGAAAAGTGAAACTACGTAATAAAGAAGTAGACAAGGTATTGATCAAGTGGAAACACCATTGAGGACCAAATTGGACGTGGGAGCGTAAAGATGAGATGAAGGCGAAATACCCATCTTTATTTCCACAACAGTGATTTCAGGGACGAAATCCTCAAAAGGAGGAGGTATTTGTAACATCCAATTTCTAATATGCCCAATTATTTGCTTAGTATATTTAATTATTGGGTTAAATAGAACTTATGATTTAGTGGGAGTATGAGTTTGAAACTTTAGAATTTTATTTCTTAAGAATATATTAGAGKATTTAGAAAATATCATGTCAAATGTATACGTAAAACTGATTTTCTTGTGAGATATTTTCTGGAATATTTTTGTTGGATGTTATAGATTATCTCTTTATGATCGTGTAGGAGAAAACCTCATAGAAAACGGAGGTCCGAGCGAAAATTTATGAATAATTTAAGTATTGATGGTCAAAATGGGTCCTAGCCGGGCCAACCCGGCCCAACTCGAGTTTTAACACTATAAATTGGAGTTTTGGCCCATTTTTCTTGTCATCTAAGTCCAGAACTCACACACACTCTAGAGATGCGATTTTCACACACATAGGCTTGATTCAACTCAAATCAAAGAGGAACTACAAGATCCTTGAAGGATTTGATCATCAAGTAAGGTATAATCCATTCTTTGCACTTGTTTATGGTTGATATCCTTGTTTTATGGGTTGCATGTTGAGATGGAGTTAGGGTTTCATATGGGTTTGAACTTAAGTGTATTAAATGAGTGCATTTTAGTGTTTTTGGCATCAAATGGTCATTAGATTCAAGAGATTATGAAGATTTATGCAAGTTCATCATATGAACTTTGACTTGATTAAGTCAATGATTTGGGAGATAATATAAATGATAAAATAAAGGTTGGATTTTGGTTGTTTATGTCAAACATGTTATATTAAGCTGAGAAAAGAACGACTCTATGCAAAATTCTCGAAATGAGAATTTCGACTTTTGAATGCTTTGAAAATGTGCAGACTTTGAAAATATGTAGAAAATCGTACAAAAATCCAAATTAGGTGAGGCCAATTTCTTTAGTTAGATATTTGAGTCTAATTTATTTCTTATTTTATGATTAATGCATGATTTCGAGCTTAAAATGGGCAAAACAGTTTTGCATGCAGCAGCTGTACATAGAAATTTGGATAAAATGTTCAAATAGGATATGTGTATATCATGGGTTTCTTATATCGGTTGCTTATGAGATTTTGTACATTTACTCCAGGGGGTAA